TTACAAAAAATAGATCCTATTTTAATGGAAGAGTCCAGTTTGAAAAATCATCACCACAATCATTGGTGTATTAATTAATGCATTAAGCTCTGCTTCAGCCCAGCCAAGCCTGGCCTGCCAGTGAGGAAATGGGGGTGTATCCAGAGTCACCCTGGCTCACAGGAGGGAATCCAGGCATCCAGGGGGCCCAGCTTCACAGGTGAGAGGGAACCCAGGTGTCCGGGGGTCCCGGCCAGAAGACAATTATCGGAGAACATTATCAGCTCAAACAGCCAAACAAAGTCAACAGCTGATAATGTAAAATTTCCCTTTTATGATCTGATAGGCAACCAATATATTGTTGCACCTTGTGGCAGGTGTGCCCCTTCAGGGTCTGTCCACTGGTGACCCTGCCCACCTGTTATGAGCCAACCACCCGCCTTCTCACCTGCCACTCCTTGTCATCAGTTGCTTAATTAGAAGATGTTAATTAAGCGGGAGGCTGCCCATTTTACTGCCCCGATGCAAGGGGTCACTATCTGCAGCTCCTTTCCTCCCCTACACCGCAGCCCAAGCCTCACAGATGGTACTCACATAGTTTAGTCTGGGCCTTACTCTATTCTGGCCCCCTTGTCCTCCCGGGGCTCTCCATGGCCCTGCTTCGCTGGGCGCCTCACTGGGTGTTCGTCAATGCTGCCCCCCCTCTCCAGGGCTGAGGTTTCCACACGGCCATGGCTCCCCCATGAGGCCTCCTCCAACCCCCTGATAGCCTCACCCAAACCTCCGGTTCTAACCAGCAAACGCAAAACACAAGACCCTGGGCTATAACATAAAATCTAAGCTGTCCGACTAAACATCATTCAATCCCTACCAGGGAATTCTCCACCCCATAACAGCAATCAGGAGCTGCTCATGCAGTCAGGCTTCTCTCCTCTCTTTGCTCCAGCACAGCGCCTTCTCCCTTGGCTGCTAGCACAGAACTGCCAGCCTGGCCCCAGATCTGGGGTTTAAATGTGAGCCAGGCCCTGCCCCTGACTGCTGGCAGGTGTGGGTCACCAGCTAACTTTGGTTGCCCTGGCACCCAGCAGCTGGGGCTCCTCACTCACTGCTAGGGCTCTGTCCTACCAGTTTCCCTTTTCTAAAAGGAGCATGGCACCTAAGTGCTCAGTGACACACCTCTATAAAATATCATTTTGGAGGTGAAAAAGGAGATAACTTTGTTTCTCCCTATCAAATGAAAAATGGAAACAACATTCACTAATCTTAAAATGCTGAAGACTGTAGTGATCAGAAACAACCAATTCAATTCAACACTTATAAGTTACCTTGGTTCAATAAATCAGGTAGTTTTAAGTATCAAAGAAGTTTTGATAAGGGGACAGTCAGTTGTGTATCCAGACTATTTAAGATGATCATATTTAATTAAGAAAATAACTAACGCTTTTTTCATGCATTGTAATTGAATTCCAATTTCCATCTCAGCCACCTTTTTTTACCACTGTCACGGGGCACTCGGGTGCCCCGTTCCTAAGTAGGAATTAGGGCATCTGCTAATTGCCGGGGCAGCTCAGGTGCTGGTTGCCGGGGCAACCGGAGCAGGTCACATGGCCAGAAAGGGGCAGGGCCCGGCCTTTATAAACAGCCCAGGCCAGAGCCTAGCTAGCAGTTACCTTCTGGCTGCCGGAGGAGCAAGAGCTCTGCAGCAGAGTTGAGCTGGGTTGAGCAGACTGATAGACCAAGCAGCTGTATCATGTTACAGGGTAGAGAGAACCCTGACCGGGAGGCTGGGCAGGAGAAGCCTGTGGGACCGGAGTGTGCGTTATAGCCGGTAGGCTTATTGTTCTGTTACAGCCGTTTGGCTTATGGTTCTGTTATGTTAGTTGTGTAAATATACCGAAAGACCGGGTAAGGCTGTAGGGGTGTGAGAAGGCCTCACAGGAGCTCCCCAGTAGATTGGGGGTTCCTGGTGCCCTGTGTGGGCACACGTGGGTGGTGCCTGGAAAGGCACGGGTGTTCAGCGCCGAGGTGGCACAGCGGGTGGCCCAGTATGGGCGGTAGTTGAGAGGCCCGAGCAGGGCAGAGGATCCCGACAAAGGGTCAGGGGGCCAGGCACGACTTCGGCCATCTGAGCCCCATTTACGGAGCACCAGTGCGAAGCCTATGGGGGGGCTCGTGTTTGGCCCCGGGGGGGGGGGCCACACGAGTGGAAGCCCAGGGGGGTGCTATTAGAGAAATGAGCCCAGTGAGGGCGATTCCGTTAGTATAGAGAGCCCGGAGAAGGCGGAGTGAAGCCGCAGGAACGGGCATGTGCTAGGGATAAGCCCAGGAGAGGGCACGTATAGAAAAAGCCCCAGGAGGGGGCACGTATTCATGACAGTCACCCCAAGAGGGGTGCAGACGGGAAAGAGTCCCGGAGGGGCTCCATTGTAGGGGGAACCCCGAGGGGCCAAAGGAGCCAGGTAAGGCTTAGGCTGTCTGAGCCCAACTGGATACCTATTACTGACAGGGACCCTGAGGGGCCAGAGGGACCAGGTAAGGCTTAGGCCGCCTGAGCCTGGTTCGACACTTATTATTGACAAGAACCCAGAGGGGCCAGGCGAGGCTTAGGCCGCTGAGCCCGGTGGGGAAGAACACTATTTAGTAAGCCCAAGAGGGCTATAAAATAGAGGGGCGCCGGTGGCGTGACAAGCCCAGGGGCGCCGAGAAGGGGCGCTGGTGGCGTGACAAGCCCAGGGGTGCCAGGCAAGGGGCGCTGGTTGCGTGACAAACCCAGGAGCACCGAGAAGGGGCGTCGGTTGTGTGAAAGCCCAGGGATGCCAGGCAAGGCGCAGAAAGAGAGAGAGTGACCCAACATCATCCGGGACAGCTGCGAGGCTTGGGGTGTGCTAAGGGGGAGGTAGGAGGCACACATAGCCAATAAGGCTGGGGGTGTACCAGGTCACCCTGTCCAGAGTAGGAGCCCAAATAGTCATAGCACTGTGTCCAAGAGGACAGAAGGCAGCCTCCATTACTAAACTTCATAAAACCAAGACGTGGCAGGAGAGATAGAGGGTGTTGGAACACTTGGCACGGCAGGGGGCGCTAGAGGGATCACAGCCACCCCTAGGTCCCGCTCTGTGACAACCACCTTGGGATCTTTTCTAGCGTGACACAAGTCCAGTACAAAGATAATAATCAAATACATTAAATAAACCCTTCACATTTTCTAACATAATACAAATGTAAAGATTAAGAAACTTGATAAACTTATGTGAAACTATGTAATAATTAACCACAATTAAATGTGTTACTCAGGTTAGCAAAAACCAAACCAAACCCAATTTTAATGCAAGACCTATATTTACTTGCCAGTCAAAATCTTACAATTGTTATCTCTGACCAAGAGAATCAACCATTCTTTTGGAAAATAATTTAAAAAAAAATTTAAAAATGCAAAACAGAATTCAATCTGGATGTCCTGCTCAGTGATGAACTCTCAACTAAAATCAGTTGTTAAATGTACACGTGCAGGGTTAGAAAACAGAATCGGACCCTTGGAATGAAAATTCAGAGCCAAAAAGAATGGTTATTATGTGATCAACTGAGTTTTAATGTTATCTTGTGTGTCCATTTCCAACATCACATCTAACCTCTTACTCCATGCAAAGACCTTCCTCTGTTACATGTATATTATAAAAGGGCAAAGCCATGTGAATTGCCAACTCCTGGCAGAAGTGGGGGTATAACCTTGGAAGTCTAAATCAGCAGAGGAATGTTAAATACGGAGTCAGTGACCCCACTTCAGAAAAAAAATAAATCAGAGCAAATTCATTCCTACTCTGTTCCAAGAGAGGGAGACTCAATAAAAAGTTGTTCTTCCAGTTGGACAGCTTTGCTTTTCTGAAACCGGCTGACGTAAACTCTGAAACCATGCCCCCTAGGTTACTTTAGTCACAGGCACAGAAAAAGTCATGGGCGCCCTAAGCCTGGAGGCCCAGGAACATACTGGAAATAAGTTGAGGCCTGCGACCAAAGGCAGCGAGAGCAGCCTGGTGCACGGCCGAGCACGCAGGTCCAGGATAGCTGCGAAGGGCCCAGCTCCTTGGGAAAGGGCCCAGCAGGCTGGAGGAGGGGATGGACCCACGCTGAAGAAGGAAGCAGGGGGGCTTAACAGGTGCGGCTGTCAAGAGGCTGGCATTAGAGGCGGGGGAAAAGCCATGCGCTGGCACTAAGGACAAGGTCAGGAGAAGCTGGGAACCCTGAAGTTGCCTGTTGGTGGAAAATCCCAGGCAGGGGTGAGCCGAGGGCTGCAGGGACCTGCCCTGTGGTACTCCAAGGAGGGGCAGCTAGTTGGGGAGGGGGAGGGAGTGGGGGTAGACTTCCAGGAGCAAAAGATGGATTTGGGGACTCCCAGGGGTGGAGAGTGGATTCGGGGGGTGGAGAGGGGGCTATAGTTTCATGGAGGGGTGAATTTCCAGGGGTGAAAAGTGGAGCGGGGGGATTTCCAGGGGTGGAAGATGGATTCCGGCGCGGGGTGGGGAGGCTATATTTCCATGAAAGGGTGGATTTCCAGGGGTGAAGGGTGGATTTCCAGCCTCTGTCTATCACACCATGCAAGAAGGGGCTTTCCTGGTCTTTAAATGGAAAGAGTCCCCCCCTCCTCCCCGCAGTCCGGGAAAAGGGGGTGACGGCCTGGACCGAGACTGCGTCGCAGGCCCATGCTGTCCCGGGATCGCATGGACCCAGCACCGCTCCCCCCGCCCCAAGCGGAGAAGCACGGAGACCCGGAAGGCAAAAAACTTTTCCGGAGTTTGGCGGAGCCGCAACAAAGTATCGGGGGCAGGGGAGGGGATCGGGCCGGGGGCGCCGCACTCCCTGCTGCCCTCCAGCGCCCCGATCCGCGGGGAAACACCCCCCCCCCCCACGT